GTCAATGGGGGGGGCAGCACCCAATGGGGTCAATGGGGGGGGCAGCACCCAATGGGGGTCAATGGGGGGGGGCAGCACCCAATGGGGGTCAATGGGGGGGGGGCAGCACCCAATGGGGGTCAATGGGGGGGGGGCAGCACCCAATGGGGGTCAATGGGGGGGGGGGGCAGCACCCAATGGGGGGGGCAGCACCCAATGGGGGTCAATGGGGGGGGGGGGCAGCACCCAATGGGGGGGGCAGCACCCAATGGGGTCAATGGGGGGGGCAGCACCCAATGGGGGTCAATGGGGGGGGCAGCAGCCAATGGGGGTCAAGGGGGGGGGGGGGGGCAGCACCCAATGGGGGGGGGGCAGCACCCAATGTGGGTCAATGGGGGGGGGGCAGCACCCAATGGGGGGGGGCAGCACCCAATGTGGGTCAATGGGAGGGGGGCAGCACCCAATGGGGGGGGGCAGCACCCAATGGGGTCAATGGGGGGGGGGCAGCACCCAATGGGGGTCAATGGGGGGGGGGGCAGCACCCAATGGGGGTCAATGGGGGGGGGGGGGCAGCACCCAATGGGGGGGGGGGGCAGCACCCAATGGGGTCAATGGGGGGGGCAGCACCCAATGGGGGGGGGGCAGCACCCAATGTGGGTCAATGGGGGGGGGGCAGCACCCAATGGGGGGGGGGCAGCACCCAATGGGGTCAATGGGGGGGGGGCAGCACCCAATGGGGGTCAATGGGGGGGGGGGGGCAGCACCCAATGGGGGTCAATGGGGGGGGGGGGCAGCACCCAATGGGGGGGGGGCAGCACCCAATGGGGTTCAATGGGGGGGGGGCAGCACCCAATGGGGTTCAATGGGGGGGGGGGCAGCACCCAATGGGGGTCAATGGGGGGGGGCAGCACCCAATGGGGTTCAATGGGGGGGGGGCAGCACCCAATGGGGGTCAATGGGGGGGGGGGCAGCACCCAATGGGGGTCAATGGGGGGGGGGGCAGCACCCAATGGGGTCAATGGGGGGGGGGGGCAGCACCCAATGGGGGGGGGCAGCACCCAATGGGGTCAATGGGGGGGGGGGCAGCACCCAATGGGGTCAATGGGGGGGGGGGGCAGCACCCAATGGGGGGGGCAGCACCCAATGGGGGTCAATGGGGGGGGGCAGCACCCAATGGGGTCAATGGGGGGGGGGGGGGCAGCACCCAATGGGGGTCAATGGGGGGGGGGCAGCACCCAATGGGGGTCAATGGGGGGGGGGGGGGCAGCACCCAATGGGGGGGGCAGCACCCAATGGGGGGGGGGGCAGCACCCAATGGGGTCAATGGGGGGGGGGGCCAGCACCCAATGGGGGGGGGGGGCAGCACCCAATGGGGTCAATGGGGGGGGGGCAGCACCCAATGGGGGTCAATGGGGGGGGGGGGCAGCACCCAATGGGGGGGTCCCCCCCCTTGTTAATGGGATGGGGGGCGTGTCTTTGCCATAGAAGGGGCGGGGCTTAATGGTGATGGGCGGGGTTTGGCCATATAAGGAGCGTGATGTAACCGGATGGGGGGCGTGGCTTCACGGCGAGGCTCCGCCCCTTCCCTTGCCTTTAATAGGGGATCCCCCCCCGCCCCCCTGTGACGTCATGGAGGAGCTGGAGGGCGAGGGCTTCCTGGACCTATGGAATATGTGAGATATGGGGGGGCTATGGGGTTCTATAGGGGTCCTATGGGGGTCTATAGGGGTCTATAGGGGTCCTATGGGGGTCTATAGGGGTCTATAGGGTTCTATAGGGGGTCTATAGGGTTCTATAGGGGTCCTATGGGGGTCTATAGGGGTCTATAGGGTTCTATAGGGGGTCTATAGGGTTCTATAGGGGTCTATAGGGTTCTATAGGGGGTCTATAGGAGTCCTATGGGGGTCTATAGGGGTCTATAGGGGTCCTATGGGGGTCTATAGGGGTTCTATGGGGGTCTATAGGGGGTCTATGGGGTGTCTATAGGGGTCTATAGGGGTTCTATGGGGGTCTATAGGGGGTCTATGGGTGTCTATAGGGGGTCTATAGGGGTTCTATGGGGGTCTATAGGGTTCTATGGGGCTCTATATGGGTTCTATGGGGGTCTATAGGGGGTCTATAGGGGTCCTATGGGGGTCTATAGGGGTTCTATGGGGGTCTATAGGGGTCTATAGGGGTTCTATGGGGGTCTATAGGGGTTCTATGGGGGTCTATAGGGGTTCTATGGGGGTCTATAGGGGGTCTATGGGGTGTCTATAGGGGTTCTATGGGGGTCTATAGGGGTCTATGGGGTGTCTATAGGGGTCTATAGGGGTTCTATGGGGGTCTATAGGGGTCCTATGGCGGTCTATAGGGGTTCTATGGGGGTCTATAGGGGTCTATAGGGGTTCTATGGGGGTCTATAGGGGTTCTATGGGGGTCTATAGGGGTCTATAGGGGTTCTATGGGGGTCTATAGGGGGTCTATGGGGTGTCTATAGGGGTCTATAGGGGTTCTATGGGGGTCTATAGGGGTCTATGGGGTGTCTATAGGGGTCTATAGGGGTCTATAGGGGTTCTATGGGGGTCTATAGGGGTCTATGGGGGTCTATAGGGGGTCTATGGGGTGTCTATAGGGGTCTATAGGGGTTCTATGGGGGTCTATGGGGTGTCTATAGGGGTCTATAGGGTTCTATGGGGGTCTATAGGGGGTCTATGGGGTGTCTATAGGGGTTCTATGGGGGTCTATAGGGGGTCTATAGGGGTTCTATGGGTGTCTATAGGGGTCTATAGGGGTCTATAGGGGGTCTATAGGGTTCTATAGGGGGTCTATAGGGGTTCTATGGGGGTCTATAGGGGTTCTATGGAGGTCTGTAGGGGTTCTATGGAGGTCTATAGGGTTCTATAGGGGTCTATAGGGGTTCTATGGGTGTCTATAGGGGTCTATAGGGGGTCTATAGGGTTCTATAGGGGGTCTATAGGGTCCTATGGGGGTCTATAGGGGTTCTATGGGGGTCTATAGGGGTTCTATGGAGGTCTGTAGGGGTTCTATGGAGGTCTATAGGGTTCTATAGGGGGTCTGTAGGGGTTCTATAGGGTTCTAAAGGGGTTCTATGGGGTTTATAGGGGTTCTATGGGGGTCTATAGGGGGTCTATAGGGCTCTATGGGGGTTCTATGGGGGTCTATAGGGGTTCTATGGAGCTCTATAGGGGTTCTATGGGGGTCTATAGGGGTTCTATGGAGGTCTGTAGGGGTTCTATGGAGGTCTATAGGGTTCTATAGGGGGTCTGTAGGGGTTCTATAGGGTTCTAAAGGGGTTCTATGGGGTTTATAGGGGTTCTATGGGGGTCTATAGGGGGTCTATAGGGCTCTATGGGGGTCTATAGGGGTTCTATGGAGCTCTATAGGGGTCCTATGGGGGTCTATAGGGGGTCTATAGGGCTCTATCGGGGTTCTATGGGGGTCTATAGGCGTTCTATGGGGGTCTATAGGGGTCTATAGGGGTTCTATGGGGGTCTATAGGGCTCTATAGGGGTTCTATGGGGGTCTATAGGGGTTCTATGAGGTTCTATAGGGGTCCTATGGGGATCTATAGGGCTCTATAGGGAGTCTGTAGGGGTCTATAGGGTTTCTATGGGGGTCTATAGGGCTTCTATGGGGGTCTATAGGGGTCTATGGGGTTCCATAGGGGGTCTATAGGGTTCCATAGGGGGTCTGTAGGGGTCTTCGGGGTTCTATAGGGGTCTATATGGGTTCTATGGGGCGTCTATAGGGGTTCTATAGGGGTCTATAGGGGTTCTATGGGGGTCTATGGGGTTTCTATGGGGGTCTATAGGGGTTCTATAGGGGTCTGTAGGGCTCCATAGGTTTCCATAGGGTGTCTTTAGGCCTCCATAGGGTTCTATAAGAGTTCTATAGGGTGTCTGTAGGGTTCTATATGCGTTCTATAGGGTTCTATGTGGGTTCCATAGTGTTCTATAGGGGTCTATATGTGTTCTATAGGTGTCTGTAGAATTCTATAGGGTTCTGTGGGGTGTCTATGGGGTACTATAGGAGTCTATATGAGTTGTATAGGATGTTTATAGGGGTTCTATAGGGCTTCTATATGCGGTTTATAGGGCTCTATAGGTGTCTATAGGGGTCTATAGGAGTTTATATGTGTTCTATAGGGTGTCTACAGGGGTCTATAGGGTTCTATATGGCTCTATAGGGGTTCTATATGCATTCTATAGGGCTCTATAGGGGCTTATAGGGGCTCTATAGGGTTCTATATGTGTTCTATAGGGTTCTATAATGTTCTATAGGGATCTATATGCATTCTATAGGGTTCTAGGGGGTTCTATAGAGGTTCTATCAGGTGTCTACAGGGATCTATAGGAGTTCTATAGGGTTCTATAGGGTGTCTCTAGGGATCTCTATGGGTTCTATAGGATTCTATAGTGTGTCTGTATGGGTCTATATGGGTTCTATAGAGTGTCTATAAGGTTCTATAGGAGTTCTATATGGTTCCATAGGGCTCTATAGGGGTTCCATAGGGCTCTATAGGGTGTCTGTAAGGTTCCATAGGGTGTCTATAGGGTTCCATAGCGTTCTGTGGGGTTCCATAGAGCTCTGTAGGGTGTCTATAGGGTTCCATAGGGTTCTATAGCGGTTCCATAGGGCTCTGTAGGGTTCTATAGGGCTCCATAGGGTTCCATAGGGCTCTATAGGGGTTCTATAGGGCTCTATAGGGTGTCTGTATGGCTGTATAGGGCTCCATAGGGCTCTATAGGGTGTCTGTAGGGCTCCATAGGGTTCCGTAGGGCTCCATAGGGTTCCATAGGGCTCTATAGGGTGTCTGTAGGGCTCCATAGGGTGTCTATAGGGTGTCTATATGGCTCTATAGGGTTCTATAGGATGTCTGTAGGGTTCCATAGGGTTCCATAGGGCTCTATAGTGGTTCCATAGGGTTCCATAGGTCTCCATAGGTCTCCATAGCCCTCTCTATGGGGCAGGGGGGGGGTTGGCCTCACTTCCCCCCCCTTCCCCCCCCTTTTTCCCAGGCTCCCGGACAGCCTCCATTCATTACCAGCCGAGTCCCCTGAATGGGTGAGTCCATTGTAGCCCGGGGGGGGGGGTGTGTGTGAGTTGGTTTGCCCCATAGCAATATGGGTCCTGCGGTATGAATACGAGACCCACATATATGGGGTTTCCCCCCCCCCCCATTTAAAGGGATCGATTTGAGGGGTCCCCATATATTTTAACCCCCCCCTTATAGGAGCTGAGCCCCATGGAACCCCCCCCGGCTCCCCCCCCGCCGCCCTGCCCGGTGGTACCGTCCACGGAGGACTATGGCGGCGCCCATGACTTCCGGTTGAGCTTCCGGGAGGCGGGGACGGCCAAGTCGGTCACGTGGACGGTGAGTGCGGGGGGGGAGGGGTTTAAGGGACGGACCCATAGGGATAAAGGGGTGGAGCCATAGCGGTGGGGGCGGAGCCATTGAGATGGGGTGGACCTATAGCGATGGGGGGCGGGGTATATGGTAATGAAGGGGGCGGGGTTTGGGGGCGGGGGAGCCGCCCATTAAGGGGGAAGAGGAAAAGGGGGGGGGGGAACCAAGGTGAGGCGGAACCAAAGTGAAGGGGTTAAGGGGGGGGGCCTGAAGTGGGACGGACCCATAGGGATAAGGGGTTATGGGGGGCTATGGGGTGCTATTGGGTGCTGTTGGGTGCTATAGGGTGCTGTTGGGTGCTATTGGGTGCTGTTGGGTGCTATAGGGTGCTGTTGGGTGTTATGGGGTGCTATGGGGTGCTGTTGGGTGTTATAGGGTGCTATGGGGTGCTGTTGGGTGTTATAGGGTGCTATGGGGTGCTGTTGGGTGCTATGGGGTGTTGTTGGGTGCTATAGGGTGCTGTTGGGTGCTATGGGGTGTTGTTGGGTGCTATAGGGTGCTATGGGGTGCTGTGGGGTGCTGTTGGGTGCTATGGGGTGTTGTTGGGTGCTATGGGGTGCTGTGGGGTGCTGTTGGGTGCTATGGGGTGTTGTTGGGTGCTATGGGGTGCTGTGGGGTGCTGTTGGGTGCTATGGGGTGTTGTTGGGTGCTATGGGGTGCTGTGGGGTGCTGTTGGGTGCTGTTGGCTCCCTATGGGTCCTATTGGGTCCCATGTATCCCTATGGGTCCCATGTATCCCTATGGGTGCTCTTGGTCTCTATTGGGTCCCATGTGTCCCTATGGGTGCTGTTGGCTCCCTATGGGTGCTATTGGGTCCCATGTGTCGCTATGGGTCCCATGTGTCCCTATGGGCTCCCTATGGGTGCTATTGGGTCCTATTGGGTCCCATGTATCCCTATGGGTCCCATGTATCCCTATGGGTCTCATGTATCCCTATGGATGCTCTTGGGTCCCATGTGTCCCTATGGGTGCTATTGGGTCCCATGTATCCCTATGGGTGCTATTGGGTTCTATTGGCTCCCATGTATCCCTATGGGTGCTATTGGGTTCTATTGGCTCCCATGTATCCCTATGGGTGCTATTGGGTTCTATTGGCTCCCATGTATCCCTATGGGTGCTATTGGGTTCTATTGGCTCCCATGTATCCCTATGGGTGCTATTGGGTTCTATTGGCTCCCATGTATCCCTATGGGTGCTATTGGGTTCTATTGGCTCCCATGTATCCCTATGGGTGCTATTGGGTTCTATTGGCTCCCATGTATCCCTATGGGTTCTATTGGGTTCTATTGGCTCCCATGTATCCCTATGGGTGCTATGGGTTCCCTATTGGCTCCCATGTATCCCTATGGGTGCTATTGGGTTCTATTGGCTCCCATGTATCCCTATGGGTTCTATTGGCTCCCATGTAA